TGACCTTAAGCTCTATATTCAACTATTAAATTCTCGCGATCCTGTTACACAATCTCGCTACTTTCTACATGCTATTAGTAGGTGATAAAAACATAAATGCTCTAACCACTTTAGGTAATGAGCCTCACTGATCAAGGCGAGTTCATTAGAAACATAACATCATGGACAGAAAGAAAACCTGCTTTCTATCATGGGCATGTTGCTTTCATCGACTTTACAAGGTTGCTTGTCTCCAGTTTCCCAGCTATTGCTCTACATACTTAACACGTGTTTCAGATTTGGTTATAAAAATCCTATTTATATCAACATTGTTCGCGAACCACTTGAGCGACTACTCTCTCACTACTATTTTCTCCGATTTGGCGATAACTATCGTGTTGGATTGAAAAGGAGTAGAGCAGGGAATAACGAGGTTCGTTTTAAAAGTATCGCGCTGGGAATTTTGAAACATTTCCGAGGAATGTTTCAAAATTCTCAGTCTTTCGCATCACTTATATACATTTTGATTGGATCTAATTTTTAAAGTGGTCTAATGCTAGATTATCAGATAAGATCGTGCGGTTTCATTTTAAGGTTTCAGAATGATGTCATTAGTTGCTTCTATTGCTTTGTCACTTACCTTTAAGGTAACCTATATCTCGGATCTCGTTAATATTTAATCTAGACTTTATTTGTTTTAGTCATTAAAGGTACTATCAAATGAACAATAGAAGACACACTTCTTCAATTACTCTTTATGGCGATCTGTATCTCGGATTTTGTCATTACCTGATAGAATTATCTTACTTGTTGATTACATACGTTATATCCATCTTGCACAATTTAGTATTGTAAGACTGTGCTAGATAGACCATAGAAGAACCGAAATCGCAACTTCTTTAAAAAATGATCCATTATGTTTCGCTGAATCCTTATCCAAATCATATCTCACGATGCAACTTTTCTGGATGGGAAAAACTTATTTAATTCCTTTCTGCAGATTGCTAATTGGACTCTCTGTCGTCTATAGTGTGTCCAATCCAAGTTGACCGCGTT